GCACATATGATCAATTGAATGTGTTGATGAACCCATTCCTAGAGCTTAAAGAGTTACTTTACAGCGATATGTTTTTCTTACGGTCATTTTACAATATTTTAAATTTTAAAACCACAGTCTTCGAGAATAATGCTTTGTCTTTGGATACAGAGTCGCCGGAAGCAAGTTCAATCACTAATGAGGGAATGGGAAACAATGGAGTTTCAACAACAGCCGTGTTAGAAGAGGGTAAGCGCGGCTGCTTTCCGGTTGTGATTGGGCTAAAAGTAATGAGAGAAATGAGAGACACAAATCAGCTTACCGATGTTCGTTTGATAGCGAGGAACGGCACTTCTTTGTACGTTCATCGAGCAGTGGTGTCTTCTACTAGTGTTTTATTTCGTTCCCTGTTCAGAAACAACTTCCTGGACAAAGAGTATACCAACCAAGCAACTGTGTATTTTCCCGAAGTTTCAGAGGAAACTCTTCGACTAATATCGGATTTTTCCTACGGACTCGACATATCTTTAGACGATTGTGATATTCCTGAACTACTGAATTGGGTGGGATATCTGCGCATGCCCGAGCTGTTCACTTACAGCGTAGAATGGATCGCAAAACAGTTCAGTTTTGACAACTGTTTGAAATTTGTGCGACTGGCAACGCTTTACAAGGCTGTTGAACTGAAAAGCAAAATCCTGCGTTTTGTGTGCAATAATTTTGAAGAGGTATGGCTGAAAAGCAGGGCTGATTTTTTGACGTTATCATTCGACGATTTATTGGCCATTCTCTCCGACGATCGTACGAACATTCGATACGAAAGACTGGCGTGGCTGGTTATCAAACAGTGGATAAAGCATGTTCCAGGCGAGAGGAAGAAATTTTTCAAGAGACTGTTCATGACCCTGCGGCTTACTCTATTGGACCCCTGCACATTCGACGAAATTCTTGACAACGAGATGGTGGAAAATGACGAAGAATGCATGAGTTTAATGCACGCAGCTTATGCAATGGTGCGCGGCATTCAGCTACAGAACAATGAAATTATGTCACTGTTGGAGGGCAACGCGTGCGTTCCACGGCTTCCTTACGAAGTCGTTTTTACAACTGGAGGCAAGGCTGCTCATGTGGTAAGGGGTACGATGCAAGTCTACGATCCTCGGGCAGAGAAGTGGCATGAACTGGAGTCGTGGGACAAGGCAGGCTTCAGGGCATACCACGGAAGTATATCGGTCGGTAGCTCCTTGTTCAACATCGGCGGCTATAACGGCAATGACTACCTGAGTTTGGTGAGTGTATTTGATTTGTCTGAAAAATCATGGTCGTATCGAGCTGCCATGAACGCCAAGCGTTGCTATGTTGCTGTCGCTGAATATCACGGTCAGATGTATGCGTTTGGAGGTATGGACGGAAGACATCGTTTGCATACGGTTGAACGGTACCATCCCGAAAGTAACCAGTGGTCCTATGTTCACTGTATGAACTCCCCGCGAAGCGACGCCCATGCAGTGACTGTTGGTGACAAGATTTTCGTAGTCGGTGGATTCGACGGTTTCAACTTCATGAGCACGGTCGAGTGCTATGACCCGGCGGTGGACAGGTGGACCGAAGCAAGTCGCATGACAAGGCAACGGAGCGGAGTCGGTGTCATCCAGTTG